AGTACTAAATAAAATTCTGATGGGTAAATTCTTAACTTTTTACCTGAAAGAAGGGACTTCTACAGCCTACAAGAGGTATGTGTCTCTCTCCTTATACTATCTCTGTCGTTATCGACTGAGTAAACTGAATGACCAACTATATGTAAAACAAAGAGTTAATTGATTACAGACTGATTTTAATGTTTGTCCTTGTCCTCCTAATGACTGACTCAGGTACGTCATTTCAATAAAAACACACCAGAAAATACCAGAACAATCAATAAATGAGAAACAAAGTATGCTGTTATCATTTAGTCATTTTAAAGATAACGTGTAGAAACTGTAACTGTTTGCATACCTATGTCATCCTTGCCACAGTGCATGTACTCAGCAAAGAGAGAGCGACAGAGCTCGTATGCTCCAAAGAAACAGAAATATCCAGGCACCTCACGGGCAACTGTAGTGGTTAAACCCTGGAAGAACCCTGCAGGACCATCATTATGCATAATGGACTTGATCACTGACCAAACTGTGCTGAAAAACACAGACATACATAAGGAGAAAGGAGGTAACTCATATCATGAGTAACACTAGCACTTAAAAGTAAATAAAAATGTGCGCAGTATCCACAGAAAGGATGGCTCAAGCTTTACTTCTGACTGTGGGCGATCTTGCCAGATGTGGCCATCTCATGCATTGCTTGCAGTCGGCACTTCACCAGCTCAGTGGGACATAAGACCAGAGAGGAGAAAACTGAGGCCACGGAGCCTGCGCACGCTTTCTGCATGTCACTGAACAGAAATAAACAATCACACACATTGAAAATAAGCGCTAATATAAGCAAAAATTAATGAAATTGTGATAATGATATGTATATACACATTACTGTGCCAAAAGTTTATGGTATGACTTTTTTTTTTAAAGAAATTAATACAAGGATACAAATTAATACAGATCAAATCAACAAATACACAAAGTTATCAAAAGTGATAAAGTGAGTTATAATGTTACAAAAGATTTAAAAAATAAATGCTGTTCTTTTGAACTTTCTATTCATTCACTTTCAAAATGTATCGCAGTTTCCACAAAAATATTATGTGACACTGAAGACTGGAGTAATGGTTTCTGAAATTTCAGCTTTGCCATCACAAGAATAAATTACATTTTAAAATATATTCAAATAGAAAAGAGTTATTTTAAATTGTAATAATATTTCACATTATTTCTGGTTTTACTGTATAATAATCAAATAAATGCATTCTCTATGATCTGATCAGAGAGAGAGAAAAAAAAAAGAAGAAAAAAAAACGGTTTACCCCCAAATAAGTTTTGCAATATACACATTAAGGAAAAGTTATTCAAAAATGTCTACAAAATAAGTTTTTAACATTTAAAATAATATCTGAAGTCATTTTGGAAAAATAATCATGTGAACATGTACATCCTAATGGAATAACTTTATCTGCAGAGAATTATTTAATTTCAATTCAAGAAAAACATAAGGCTACTTTAG